GCCACCGACAAGAAGATGTATATCTTTATGGCTGAGTGTCAGCCGAAGTCAGTGTTGGATAAGTTCAAGAAGAGTGAGACCGTCGACGAGAATGAGGCGAAGAAAGTGTTGAAAGAGATCGCGTCTGCCATACAATACCTCCACTCCGTGGGTGTGGCCTAAAGCCGAGTCACGTGATCCAGGACAAGGAGAGCCGAGTGAAAGTGGTCGGTATGAACCAGTGCTGCTTCTATTGGGATCCGGATATGGAGACAGTGGTCAGTAAGAAGAGGCTCTCGAAGCAGTTGTTCGACAAAAGCCCTCATTTGCCGCCCGAAGCCTTCAAAGCGGAGACATGGGATCCGTCGGCGGCGGACGTGTGGGCCTTCGGGTGCCTCATGTGTGAGCTGTTGGCCAAAGAGAGTCCGTTTAAGTTGAAAAACAAACAGACTTTCGATGAACAGTGGAAAGCGTTCGCCGAAAGCAAGCAGTTCTCTGGTGAGGCGAAGCAACTGCTGGACCGCATCCTCACCGAAGACCTCCAGAATCGGCCCAACATTTGGGATGTACTCAAAGACCCCTATTTCAAGAATGTTTAACAAAGGATACGCTCCAAGAATTTCGACTCTCTTTTTGTTTTTCTACTTATTTGCGAAATTCAAACAAAACAAAAATTCATATCAAATTCAAAATCCATTTCTGTTATCAATAATTAATTTACAGAATTTTAAACATATATTGTATACACAGAGCGCCAAAACAGTCTATTCATTGTGTTATACATCATAGTCTGTAATCAATTATAAATTCTCAGAATGACCATGGTCAAGGTGATTATTTTCTATACATTTGTCTTTTATAATTAAAATGAACAATTCAATAATTCTTGATTTATAAGATATATTAAACTAGCAATTATAGCTAAGTTAGCAAGTTGAGATTAAAACATTAATTTAAATAAAGTATACTATTGACCGCAATAAAAGTTACACCAATACCATTACTTTCTAGTTGACCTGTCTTCAATTAGTTCCCATATATCATACCTGAAGCAGGAATACCTTGACATTAAATGTTTGCAAAGATTGCATAACTATAACACAAACAGTATTTCTGAACAAATGTTGCAATTATTGCAGAGATTGTCAACAAATTGAGGCAAAATTCAATGCAATTGAAGTGAAGTGTGACTCAAATGTCTGTTTATATGAGAATCACTTCATATGTATTGCTGTTGTGTTTGAGTCTCAGATTCAGACAATATCTTCACCACAAACTTACCACAAGTGCCATCAAACCATCCATAAGACAATCACTCAAACGGAGGACTCTCTTCTTCCCCGAAACACATCTTCAGCCCAAAGACTGTCTCGAAAGCAATGGTTTAGGTATTGATGACAATCACTGTCTTTACAGCAATGGTATGACTAATGGATTGATGTCTTCAGATGTGATAATAGCCGATAACCCGACCTCTCA